AAAAAAGATATATCACAAAATGTGCCTTTAAGAATTACAATTGATGTGACTTTCAGTACTTTTGTATATTCTAGGACGTTTATTTATTATGCCCCGCCGTAGCGGTGGGGGCATTAAGTTTTACCCTTGTCTGTCTGTACGTCTGTACGTACGTCCCAAAATGGGTTTCCGTTCTCTAACTTGAGTTTGCCTCTACCAAATGTTATGAAACTTATACACAATGCTTCTTAACAAAACACAGATCAAGTTTGAATTTTGGTGGCGTCACTTTATCCGTTCTAGAGTTATGCCCCTTTATAAATGGAAAAATTGCAAAATGTTTAGTTTCCGTTCTCTAACTTAAGTTTGCCTCAACCAAATGTTATGACACTTATACACAATGCTTATTACCATAAAACACAGATCAAGTTTGAATTTTGGTGGCGTCACTTTAACCGTTCTAGAGTTATGCCCCTTTATAAATGGAAAAATTGCAAAAATTTTAGTTTCCGTTCTCTAACTTAAGTTAGCCTCAACCAAATGTTATGAAACTTATACACAATGCTAATTACCACAAAACACAGATCAAGTTTAAATTTTGGTGGCGTCACTTTAACCGTTCTAGAGTTATGCCCCGTTTTAAATTGAAAAATTTCAAAATTTTTATTTTCTTCTAAATGTCAAGTAATTTTTAAAATTGGAGTTATCTTCATTTGTCCATGTTTTAGTTGAATCAACTACAATCAATGCTTTATACAATGCAATGTTTAATATTGACTTCCACTGATAAAACACAGATCAAGTTGAATTTTGGTAGTGTCACTTTAACCATTATTGAGTTATGCCCCTTTATAAATCGAAAGATTGCAAAATATTTAGTTTCCATTCTGTAACTTAAGTTTGCCCCAACCAAACATTATGCAACTTATACACAATATTCATTACCACAAAACGAAGATCAAGTACAACTTTTTTGTTTCTGTTTTCTAACTTTAGTTTGCCTCTACCAAATGTTATGAAACTTATACACAATGCTTATTACTACATAATACAGATTAAGTACGAAATTTGGTGGCGACACTTTTACCATTCTTGAGTTATGTCCCTTTATAAACATAAAAATTGCTGAATTTTTCGTTTCCGTTCTCTAACTTTAGTTTGTCTCAACCAAATGTTATAAAACTTATACACAACCGTTCTAGAGTTATGCGTGTTTACAAATAGAAAAATTGCTGAATTTTTAGTTTCTGTTCTCGACTTGAGTTAGCCTCAACCAAATGTTATGAGACTTACACACAATGCTTATTACCACAAAACTCAGATCAAGTTCAAATTTGGGTAGCGTCACTTTTACCGTTCTTCAGTTATATCCCTTTATAACTATCTGATATGCAAGCGGGGGCATCATCTGTGTCCACATGTGGACACTATCCATATATATTGTTTTTTGTTTTAGGCTCTATTTTGGTGTTTCGGGGGTGTTTTGGGGAGTATTTTTCGGTGTATTTGGGTAAATCTTTGGACCCTATCTTCTTCATTCATTAAGAATTGTCTTGATGTAAGAAATAACTCAAGGTAAATGTTGTTAGAACCTAAAGCAAATCTGATAGAAAATATATGTATTTTCATACATGTATATTTAAAAAAGATCATCAATTACATATTGCTCAAATATTATATTACCATTTAGTGTCCTTATATTTGATAGATTGAACCATTTATTGTACATTCTTTTGTGCTTTTTAGCCTATAACTATTGTCTGAAATCGCACCCTTTAACCGGCCATCAATACGGCAGATATAATAGAATCCGTGTTCCCGATTTCCATTCAAAACAATTGCTCATACTATCTTGCACAGCAGAATCATGTCTGTGTTTCCGATTGCCATTGCAATACAATGAATTTTGTAATCGTGTACATCCTTTTTATACGACCGCAAAAAATTTTGTGGTCGTATATTGGTATGACGTTGGCGTCGTCGTCGTCGTTGTCGTCCGGCGTCGTCGTCGTTCGAAGACACATTGGTTTTCGCACTCTAACTTTAGTTTAAGTGAATGGATCTCTATGAAATTTTACCATAAGGTTCAATACCACAAAAGGAAGGTTGGCATTGATTTTGGGGGTTATGGTACCAACAGCTACGGAATAAGGGGCCAAAAAGGGGCCAAAAAAAAGCATTTTTGTAACTTCCAGACATAACTTGTGTGTGAGTGTATGGATCACTCTGACATTGTACCACAAGGTTACATATCACAAAGGGAATGCTGGGATTGATTTTGGGGGTAATTGCTTCAAAATTTTAGGAATTAGGGGCCAAAAAAGGGGAAAAAAAAACAAGCATTTTTCTAGTTTCATGACAATAACTTGTGTGTAAGTGTATGGATCTTTCTGAAATTGTACTACAAGGTTCCATATCACAAAAGAAAAGCTGGAATTGAGTTTGGGGTAATTGCCCAAAACGTTTAGGAATCATTTTCTAGTTTCCAGACAATAACTTGTGTTCAAGTATATGGATCTCTCTGAAATTGTACTGCAAGGTACCATACCACAAAGGGAAGGCTGGGATTGATTTTGGGGGTAATTGCCTCAAAATTTTAGGAATAAGGGGCCAAAAAGGGGCAAAAAACAAGCATTTTTCTAGTTTCAGGACAATAACTTGTGTGTAAGCGTATGGATCTTTATGAAATTGTACTACGAGGTTCCATATCACAAAGGGAAAGCTGGGTTTGAGTTTGGGGGTAATTGCTCTAAACGTTTAGGAATTCGGGGCCAAAAAGGGGCCAAAAAACAAGCATTTTTCTAGTTTTCAGAATTACTTGTGCTCAAGTGTATGGATCTCTCTGAAATTGTACTGCAAGGTACCATACCACAAAGGGAGGCCTGGGATTGAGTTTGGGGGTGATGAATCATAAGGGGGTTCAAAACATTGGTGGGGGGATTTTTTTTCCTTTTTTTTTCTTTAAAATTTTCCATTTTAAATTGGTTATTTCTGATTTATATATAAAAGCAAAAAATAATGATATGGTTTGAATAGGTAAATTAAAATTTATTAAGTACTTAGACCACATTCATTCTGTGTCAGAAACCTATGCTGTGTCAAATATTTAATCACAATCCAAATTCAGTGCTGTATCAAGCTTGAATGTTGTGACCATACTTGCCCCAACTGTTCAGGGTTCGACCTCTGCGGTCGTATCAAGCTGCGCCCAGCGGAGCATTTTATTCTTCATGTGATTACCTGTTGCCTGTTGCTAGTACAGAAAGCCTCTAATATGATGTGTAAATGCACCTTTTGTGGCATTACATTCATATTGAACTACGAAAGAAAATAAATTATTTATTAGTGCACAATCATGGAAGAATGCTTCCTCAGTAAAATCACATGTTTCAACTTAAGATTATACCTTAACATTTAAGTTCAGACCCAACTGCTTTGAATTTCCAAATTCCCCATCATAAATATTTACATCAATATGTAGTTGAAAGCTGCTTATAATGAAACAAGCACTTACTAAATGCATGGTATGTAAAACTTCGTTTATGTTTCTCCTAAAATATTACCTTGTTTAAAAATTCTTTTAAACAGCATATAATTTTGAAATTAAGAAAAAAACTATTGCGTCATCATTGATTATAATTCTACTCGTGATAATTAGACAAAAAATATGCTTTTACAGAAAACAGATGATTAACCATGGAAACAGAAGTTTTAATTACCCATACTCTGTTAATTGTTTAATTGTTACCATTAACATAAGATCTTTATAAATAACCCTTTATTTCCAGTTTTAACTTTTGAGTTTAATTAAATAGATCGTAGTTGAGCTGTAATTTTAACATTGATTATTTAGTACGTTGTTCTTGAACTGAAGGCATATCTGTGTCGCCATCTAAGTAGCTAAAAGTTGGAGATCTCAAAACCCGCTTTAAGAAACTAAGCTTCCAATTTCCTCAGGCAACGTTGACCTTAAATGAATAAGGTTATTATTTATAGGTTCCTTTTGGTCATGTAGCTCCTTTATACGTATTCGTACATCCCATGGCTTTCAAATGATTAGTTTTGAGCGTCCGGGTGAATGTTAATCCAGAAAAGCTTTCTGGACGTACGAACGTTATAAAGTGTTAGTTTCAAATTCCCGACATATTTTCATGTGCTTGCCCGAAGTCCATATCCTCGACATCTCTATACCTTTGTAATTTGGTTTGTGAGAATAAAGATATATATATACATGTTATATCGTAATGATTTGGCTGTAGAAATAGAATATTTGTGTTGATGGCTGATCTATGAACGTTTCTGATCATTTTTTTAGTAACTGGCATTTTTTGAATTCGGGATGATTTAGAGCTTGTCATAATGTAAAGACACATATCTAAGGAAATGATCAAGGGTCACAATACGTTTTAGTTTGTGACATCCGACATGATGGATACAGTACTATTACCATCATTAGCAGAACATAGGCTGCACGCAAGATTGGCAATGATGTGCACGATCACATACCATTGTATTGCTATTTCATCAGATTCCCTAATACTATCAGACTCACGAACCAGGAAACCCCATACACTCACATACACTCACATACAGGCATATCTATGCATCCAAAGACCCATACAGACAATAATGCTTTCCGTGCATCAACCATTTTCGCATCACTTTTTCAAGCCCCACCAGTCGATAGTCGATATTTTCAGAGAGTAGCGAGCTCACTCCTGCTGTTATCAAAACTTATGTTTAAAAACTGAAATCAATGTTGTATAAATTTTAATTTCAAATGTTTCCTTTGAACTAAATTAATATATTTTGCTTAATTTTGGATAACTAGTCCACGTATGCATACAACTAAATGTTATCAACAGACATCGATTATATATTGTACAATTATATACGAAGAAGATCCGTGTTTGGAAAAAATGGAAGTGTGCGTAAACTGTTGGTAAAATAGAAATGACGTAGAGAGTGTCATACTAAGCTCTGAAAAAGTTCTAGTTATTAATTCATATTTTCTTGTACAGGTTTTGATTGGAAGGATTGGTCAACAAGGCAGTCAGGAACAAGACATGTCACAATTAACGCGAGATTTGTATGATAGCATGGAACGTGAGACAGATTTAAAAGATCAACTTCAATTTGCAGAGGAAGAAATAAAAGACCTAAGAAAGAAAAAAGACGAACTTGAAGAAGAAAATGAAAATTTGAGCGTTCAATTAAAAAAGATGTCTGCATCTAAGATTACGAAATATAAGGACAGCAAGAAACTGGATGACCCTGATTTTACGGAAGCAGAAATTGAGCTGAAAGTTCATTTAGAATTGAATGAACAAGAACTTATGGTTACCCGACGTAAAATACAAGATCTAGAAAATGAAAATGAAAATTTGTTAGAGCAGTCTAAAGTTTTGAAAGACGAATTATCACATAAAGAACACCTATTGGCTATTCCACAACCACCGCTTTCTCCAAACACATATTACGAAGACAGATTAAAGGAAATGAATTTCGGAGCTGACGAACTGAGATGGAAAATAATCGAAAAAGACCGAGAAATCGAAAAACTGTCTGCAGAAGTGTTACAAACTCGCCAATCAAAACTGCGTAAAAGTCGATCGCTTGAAACTGATTTCTATGGAGAACGTAAGAAACTTTTAGATCTTGATTTGTCAGAAAATGTTGATTTTAGAGATAAAGTAATTAGTGAGGCACGCGGTTCACATTCTCCTGAACAATTACAACATCACAAGCCATTTACAACTTGTAATGACAGCCGAGATAATAAGAATCAAGAAATAAATAAATCGCCCGATGATGGAATCAATCCTTCTCTTGCCATTCAAACTCAGTTTTATACTAGAAGTAAGTTAAGAGAAAACTCAAATTCTTTGAATCAAAGCATTTCAAACGATAACTTGGAACAGCTAAAATCGTTACAAGAAAGCGTTGATAATTTACAAGAAAAAATAACTAAATTGGAAGCAGAAAATTTGAGCTTGAAAGAAAAGTTAACACCGGAAACGGAAGAAACGGAAGGGGAGACAAGAGAAGAATTGATGGATAAAATATTAGACATGGAAGACGATGCTGGTAAGTGAATAATTTATTTAATAAGATATGGAAAACATATTCGGAATTGTACAAAATGTACACATATTATAGAATGTCTTGTGCAGGATCTCAGACTTGAGTTCATGCATTATTTCTACCCTATACCATTACCTTTTCAACATATACCAATAGGAATAAGAAAACAAATTATATTTCAAAATTCAGTTATATGGGTTTTTAAAAAGTATAAGGACGGCTACAGAATGGTCCTAAACAATAATATTGCGAGTTCCTGTGTGGGTTGGGAACTGTCTACTTGTTCGGATCTCTGAAAAGAGTTGAACTGTCTGGAAGGGGTGGATTTCTGCGTTGCTAATCTTGTGGTTTTTAAGCGATTTATATTCTGATTCAAATTATTTTATTTTTTCGGGAGGCTTTATAAAAGGTGAGTTGTACTTAAAAGTTATAAGGTATTTAACTGTGTCCATATATTTACATTTTTTGACTCTACCTCACATTTTAAGTGCAAAACAAAAATATAATATACATATAGAAAATATTTTATAATATCAATGTTCTACGTGTTGTTAATGTAATTATGTAATATGTCAAACAAGAATTTGTAAGCAACACACGATTATATGACTATGTTGTTTAAAAATCTTACAAAAATAAGACAGAAAATGATAAATGGGACGCCTTCTCCAGAACAGGAATACGAATATTATAGCATTGATGTGGGCTAAATGCTTCATATCATACATTATCGTTGAACATGATGTAATATTGGCACTTCAAAACTTCCCCAACACAAGAACACTATTATTGTCTTTTAATTTGATTTAAGGCAAATAAATGATAAAGATTGACAAGAAGAATTCGTTTATAAAGTCAATATATGTGACCTACCGAATTAGAATTATCAGCGGGTTTGTACTTACATGACCAAAACGATTGGTGCCACATGTGGAAAAGGATCTGCGTACCCTTCCGGAGCACCTGCGATTACCCCAGTTTTTGATCGGGTTCGTGTTGCCCAGTCTTTAGTTTTCTATGTTGTGTTTTGTGTACTGTTGTATGTTGGTTTTTTATTGTTTAGCCATGGCGTTGTCAGTTTATTCTCGATTTATGAGTCTGAATGTCCCTTTGGTATCTTTCGCCTCTCTTTTAATTGAAAGGACAAAATAAAACGCAGATGAGACATTTTTTCGTGACTTAGATAAATACGTATTTGATAAAAGATTAATCCCTGCTTAAATCATATTGTATGATGATTAATTGTAAACGTACTCTTGATAAATCAGTTCTATCTGCATTTATTGCAGTATCTTTCGATCAAACACACCGGAAGAGAACAAACGTCTAAGCCATGCATAAACATTTATATTTCTTTACAATGATAAGAAAATAAAAACCGCTTACAAAGGAAAATATACAAAAAAAAAGACAAATTATGACAAGACATAAATTCATATGTGTAAATAAAACACCAAATTATAAAGCTCAAACAATACCAACTCTAATTATTAACAATGAGAGTGGTTAACGTGTTTCGGAAGGTAAAGCATCTCGTTGTTTTTTTTTATTGGAGACGCATTTATAATAATGAAAATGCACTATTTCAAAACTGATGTATTTACATTAAATTTGTAGAACATTTTCGTTCAAGCGTGTTTTTCAACTGAAATTTAACATTTTGCTAGTCATTTTCTGTTTGTTGTATACACTCTAGCAGGAAATCTGCTTCATTTGAACATAGGTACAATCGTCACTCTTTTTTAAAGACCTTTACACATTGCAACAAAATCATCCGTCAACAGTTGTTATCTTTTGGCAATGATGTTATCTTATTGTTTTTTAGCCAGTGTATTCTCCAGTATTTTAGAGTAACAATATATGTCTTCAGTTGCTTCCCCTTTAAAATGGTTGGGTACAACATTCACATCTTCATGGTAATTTTTCAAAATATAGCGTTAATATCGAAGAAGCAGCATACATATCGAATATAAAGTCTTTGGTTTGATAGGGATTATCCAATGGATTCAGATCTGAAGGCACGTTGGTTTTCTCTTTAGTAAAAGAGATATTTATTTAAGAGGCATTCGCATATTTCTCAGATTATGAGTTCTTTTAAGGTCAAGTTGGAAAAGAAGGATTTTAGAAGAGTGAAATGTTACACGTGCATGCTATTGAAATTTAAGTTTTGTGACAAAATGGTTTTCAATAAACAACGAAAACATATAAGACAATACTAAGCGGTTTTACGAATACCCAATGCTAGAAAGGAATAATAAAATTGTACAATACATTTTTACCCCCAGCTCACGGACTTGGTGGCATAATGGAATGACCTTGTCTACGTGTCTGTTAGTCCGCACGTTCGTCCGTCCACTCGTTCTTTCGCTCAACGATAGGTGAAATTTATTTCTGCATGTATTAAGACATAATTTGATAATTGGTCTGGAACTTTAAAATGTTGAGTTGTACCGTGTTTTACTTTTTATGTCGGCATAATTGTCCTGTTTTACGCCATGGCAGAAAAAAAAGAAAAAGACCAAAAGACAAACAACAGTATACAAAACACAACATAGAAAATTAAAGACTGAGCAACACGAACCTCACCAAAAACCGGGATGATCTCAGGTTCTCCGGAAAGGTAGGCATATCCTGCTCTACATGTATTAAAGGGTGTATCGTAAAAAGACCAATGTACATATACATACGGATAGTTTCTGGACAATGTAAAACAATCATCATCTGAACAATTTACGATTGACGATCAGAACCTGTCTTTATAGTAATTCACGATGTGAGGAACTGACGAAACCATATCATGCGTAACAATTTAGCATTACGTTACATAGATTATCACCCATTCATTGAAAATAAATCATGCTCTTGACACATTATAGTCAAAGTCGCTCAGTAACTTTCGTTTTCTCTCCTTAATACTGTGTGGTTAGTTAAGGCAACAATATTTTAACTATTAACTATGCTCAAAGCTCATTAATCGATTAGGAAGCCAAACCAAGTGAATAAAAAAAAATTGAAAGAATTGCACGAACTTTAAAAAGGGAGAGGAGGGAGGTAGCTGATACTAAATTTGACATTTTTGGGTTCGACCCCGCCTTGGATTGAACAATGAAGTCGGGCATGCTTTAACCATATCACTGGTGCTTTTTTTTAATATATACAAACTCCTCAAAGTACATACAAGGTTTATAATTTAGTACTCTAGACAACGCATGTTTTGTGGACATACACACTTATCTAAGATAACATACTCATAATTTGTAAGTGATAAGCGTGATCAGTGTCGTCCGAGAAAAAAAAAAAACAGTTGGAAGACCAAATCAATAACGAATCTGAAAATCTTTGCTTTGGGGGAAAAAAATAGTGATTCCAACTATTTGATATTTAATTAACAGTTAATTTTAATGACAGAAGTGCAGGAGTGCTGACTTTACTGGGCTGGTGATACCCTCGAGAATGTTGCGGTCACCAGCAGTGACTTTGACCTAGTTAAAATGTGAACTGTTATTAAGAATAGTTTTTGAATTTGATGGAATTAAATAAAATATGAGATCCGATTGGTGGAAATAAATACCAGTCATGTGTAATTTAGAAGTTATTAGAAAACTAAGGTTCAAACTTCCACAGGCAAAGGTGACCTTAGATATAGTTTGGCTATCCTCTGTAAGTCCTTTTTGCCCAAATGGGTTTTAACGTGTGTAGGTATTTTAACATCTTCAGCTTTCAAAAATTTTTGGTTTGAGCGTTGCTGATGAAGGTAAATTTAGAAAAGCGGTTCGGAAGCAGCCACATTTTTATACGACCGCAAAACATTTTTTGCGGTCGTATATTGGTATGACGTTGGCGTCGTCGTCGTCGTCGTTGTCGTTGTCGTCGTCCTCGTCGTCCGGCGTCGTCGTCGTCGTCCGAAGACACATTGGTTTTCGCACTCTAACTTTAGTTTAAGTGAATGGATCTCTTTGAAATTTTACCATAAGGTTAAATACCACAAAAGGAATGTTGGGATTGATTTTGGGGGTTATGGTACCAACAGTTAAGGAATTAGGGGCCAAAAAGGGGCCAAAAATAAGCATTTTCTAGTTTCTAGACAATAACTGTGGAACGGTGTATGGATCTCTCTGAAATTATACTACAAGTTTCCATACCACAAAGGGATGGTTAGGATTTGCTTTGGGGGTTATGGCTCAAACCGTTTAGGAATAAGGGGCAAAAAAGGGTGAAAAACAAGGTTGTCCTGGTTAATGGACAAATACTTTAGTACAAAACATAATATAAAGCAGTGTAAGGGAGATAAATCAAATACATCATTGAAATTATCTCCCTTACACTGCTTTTAAATTATGTATAAAGTAATGGTTAATGAACAATTAAGATAATTTAAAACAGTGTAAGGGAGATAATCCAAATACAACGTTTTGGTTACTTCCCTTACACTGCTTTTTAATTATGTTTAAAGAAAGGCATATTTAAAAAGGAATACCAGTAAAAATATCTGCAAATGTTGCATCTTTTTTTAAAAAAAAAAAATCCATATGAAAGATTAGACACTATATTTTAAATTCTATTATAAAATAGATTAAGTTAGCACTATGGTAAATTTAAATGGGTAATTATGGTTGCAAACTCAATTGGAAATTTGAATTGAGATTATGACCATATCTTGAGGGAAAGAATTTTTTGGGGGATAAAAGTGTGTGTGGGGGGGGGGGGGGGGGGGGTTAAAAAGAAATTGTGGGGGTTCAATTTTTTCTCATTTCAGATTTCAGAAATTAAAAAGAAGTAATCTTTAATTGCACAGTATGGCGCATTAGATTTGTAAAATCTTTGACCACATTTATTTATTTGTTATGCCGAATCTAACCGTGTATTTAGATTTTTAATTTTGTGTCCAGTTTTCAAATTGGTCTACATTAAGGTCCAAAGGGTCAAAAATTTAAACTTTGTTTGATTTTAACAAAAATTGAATATATGGGGTTCTTTGATATGCTGAATCTAAACATGTATTTAGATTTTTGATTTTTGGCCCAGTTTTCAAGTTGGTCCAAATTGGGGTCCAAAATTAAACTTTTTTTTTGTTTGATTTCAACAAAAATTGAATAAATGGGGTTCTTTGATATGCTGAATCTAACCATGTATTTAGATTTTTTATTTGTGGACCCCGCTATCAAATTGGTTCATATTGAGGTCAAAAGGGTCCAAAATTAAACTTCGTTTAATTTCATCAAAAATTGAATTATTGGGGTTCGTTGATATGCCAAATCTAACCGTGTATTTATATTTTTAATTTTGGGTCCTGTTTTTTAAATTAGTCTACATTAAGGTCCAAAGGGTCCAAAATTAAACTTAGTTTGATTTTAACAAAAATTGAATTCTTGGGGTTCTTTGATATGCTGAATTTAAACATGTGTTTAGATTTTTGATTATGGGCCCAGTTTTCAAGTTGGTCCAAGTTGGGGTCCAAAATTAAACTTTGTTTGATTTCAACAAAAATTGAATATATGGGGTTCTTTGATATGCTGAATCTAAACATGTGTTTAGATTTTTTAGTATGGGCCCAGTTTTCAAGTTGGTCCAAGTTGGGGTCCAAAATTAAACTTTGTTTGATTTCAACAAAAATTGAATATATGGGGTTCTTTGATATGCTGAATCTAAACATGTATTTATATTTTAGATTTTTGGCCCAGTTTTCAAGTTGGTCTACATTAAGGTCCAAAGGGTCCAAAATTAAACTTTGTTTGAATTTAACAAAAATTGAATATATGGGGTTCTTTGATATGCTGAATCGAAACATATATTTAGATTTTTGATTTTTGGCCCAGTTTTCAAGTTGGTCCAAATTGGGGTCCAAAATTAAACTTTGTTTGATTTCAACAAAAATTGAATATATGGGGTTCTTTGATATGCTGAATCTAACCATGTATTTAGATTTTTTATTTGTGGACCCCGCTATCAAATTGGTTCATATTGAGGTCAAAAGGGTCCAAAATTAAACTTCGTTTGATTTCATCAAAAATTGAATTATTGGGGTTCTTTGATATGCCAAATCTAACCGTGTTTTTAGAATTTTAATTTTGGGTCCCGTTTTTTAAATTGGTCTACATTAAGGTCCAAAGGGTCCAAAATAAAACTTAGTTTGATTTTAAAAAAATTGAATTCTTGGGGTTCTTTGATATGCTGAATCTAAACATATATTTAGATTTTTGATTTTTGGCCCAGTTTTTAAGTTGGTCCAAATTGGGGTCCAAAATTAAACTTTTTTTTTGTTTGATTTCAACAAAAATTGAATAAATGGGGTTCTTTGATATGCTGAATCTAACCATGTATTTAGATTTTTTATTTGTGGACCCCGCTATCAGATTGGTTCATATTGAGGTCAAAAGGGTCCAAAATTAAACTTCGTTTAATTTCATCAAAAATTGAATTATTGGGGTTTGTTGAAATGCCAAATCTAACCGTGTATTTAGATTTTTAATTTTGGGTCCTGTTTTTTAAATTAGTCTACATTAAGGTCCAAAGGGTCCAAAATTAAACTTAGTTTGATTTTAACAAAAATTGAATTCTTGGGGTTCTTTGATATGCTGAATCTAAACATGTGTTTAGATTTTTTATTATGGGCCCAGTTTTCAAGTTGGTCCAAGTTGGGATCCAAAATTAAACTTTGTTTGATTTCAACAAAAATTGAATATATGGGGTTCTTTGATATGCTGAATTCAAACATGTATTTATATTTTAGATTTTTGGCCCAGTTTTCAAGTTGGTCTACATTAAGGTCCAAAGGGTCCAAAATTAAACTTTGTTTGATTTCAACAAAAATTGAATATATGGGGTTCTTTGATATGCTGAATCTAACCATGTATTTAGATTTTTTATTTGTGGACCCCGCTATCAAATTGGTTCATATTGAGGTCAAAAGGGTCCAAAATTAAACTTCGTTTGATTTCATCAAAAATTGAATTATTGGGGTTCTTTGATATGCCAAATCTAACCGTGTTTTTAGATTTTTAATTTTGGGTCCCGTTTTTTAAATTGGTCTACATTAAGGTCCAAAGGGTCCAAAATAAAACTTAGTTTGATTTTAACAAAAATTGAATTCTTGGGGTTCTTTGATATGCTGAATCTAAACAAGTGTTTAGATTTTTGATTATGGGCCCAGTTTTCAATTTGGTCCAAGTTGGGGTCCAAAATTAAACTTTTTTTGATTTCAACAAAAATTGAATAAATGGGGTTCTTTGATATACTGAATCTAACCACGCATTTAGATTTTTTATTTGTGGGCCCTGCTATCAAATTGGTTCATATTGAGATCAAAAGGGTCCAAAATAAAACTTTGTTTGATTTCATCAAAAATTGAATTATTGGGGTTCTTTGATATTCCAAATTTAACCGTGTATTTAGATTTTTAATCTTGGGTCCCGTTTTTTAAATTGGTCTTCATTAAGGTCCAAAGGGTTCAAAATTAAACTTAGTTTGATTTTAACAAAAATTGAATTCTTGGGGTTCTTTGATATGCTGAATCTAAACATGTGTTTAGATTTTTGATTCTAATGCAATTTTTATGTACTTAGTAACCACTTTTTTCATTGGCTAAAAGTTGCCGTAAAATCCACAGTTGACCAGTCGTAACTAAGGAGGGACCCGCCATTTTGAATTGATTGAATCAACAAATGTTCGATTTCTACAATATAATTGCAAATTAAATAACAGCAACCTCAAAATCACCTTTTTAATGTGATTTCATCCAAATTTGAATCGTAGAGGTAACGTAATAACCTCCAGTTTGTAAGTTTTCATTTGTATGACGTCAAGTTTAGCAATAACGTCTTTGTACAAAAATCATTCATAAAGTTTCGCGGATTTTGTTTTTATTTCAAATTTTTACAGTTTTTCAAGCTCTAACGTATTATTTCTTTTTGTAATGCATTAGAATCGGAATAACAGTACTGTAGTTGAAGAGTTGCCACCGTCAATTTTGATTTGACGGTCGCAAACTGACGTTTTACTGTCTCCGCTACGCGTTGACGCCAATTGACGGTGCAACTCTTCAACTACAGTACTGTTATTCCTTAATTATGGGCCCAGTTTTCAAGTTTGTCCAAGTTGGGGTCCAAAATTAAACTTTGTTTGATTTCAACAAAAATTGAACATATGGGGTTCTTTGATATGCTGAATCTAACCATGTATTTTGATTTTGGACATTGGACCATAATAGGTAAATTAAAAAAATTCAAGTTCTTAGACCACATTCTTTCTGTGTCAGAAACCTATGCTGTGTCAATTATTTAATCACAATCCAAATTCAGAGCTGTATCAAGCTTGAATGTTGTGTCCATACTTGCCCCAACTGTTCAGGGTTCGACCTCTGCGGGCGTATCAAGCTGCGCCCAGCGAAGCATTTTATTAAAGTGTTATTTTCATTAACGAATATCCAATTAAGGCATGATTTTGGTTTTGTTTAATTCACTTTTTAGCTCACCTGGCTCAAAGGGCCAAGTGAGCTTTTCTCATCACTTGGCGTCCGTCGTCCGTCGTCCGTCGTCGTCTGTTGTCGTCCGTCGTTAACTATACAAAAATCTTCTCCTCTGAAACTACTGGGCCAAATTTAACCAAACTTGGCCACAATCATCAGTAGGGTAAGCAGTTTTAAAAATGTGTTTGATGACCCCGCCTTCCAACCAACATGGCCGACATGGCTAAAAATAGAACATAGGGGTAAACTGCAGTTTTTGGCTGATATCTCTGAAACTAAAGCATTTAGAGCAAATCTGACAATGGGTAAAAATGTTCTTCAGGTTAAGATCTCTCTGCCCTGAAATTTCCAGACGAATCAGACAACCCGTTGTTGGGTTGCTGCCCTTGAATTGGTAATTTTAATGAAATTTTGCAGTTTATGTTTATTATCTTAAATATTATTGTAGATTGAGATAAACTGTAAACAGCAGTAATGTTCAGCAAAGTACGATCTACAAATAAGTCAAATGACCAAAATTGTCAATTGACCCCTTTAGGAGTTATTGCCCTTTATAGTCAATTTTTAACAATTTTTCTTAAATTTGTGTAATCTTTTACAAAAATCTTCTCCACTTAATCTACTGGGCCAAATAGAATTAAACTTAGCCACAATTTTCAATAGGGTATCTTGATTGAAAAATGTATCCAATGACCCTGCCATCCAACCAACATGGCTGCCATGACTAAAAATAGAACATAGGGGTTTTCTTTAGAAGTCTATGGGAAAATTGTAAAAAAACAATTTCAAATAGTCACAACTTGAAAACTAATTTAAATTATGATAAGGGGTCTTCAGTAACTATTGTAAGACTACAATGGGATGACTTGCTTTTAATTTAACTACTGGGACAAATCAAACCAAACTTGCCTCAATCGTTATTAGGTATCTAATACTATTTATTATGATTTTAATCTTATTTTTCGTGATTTCCAAAACCATAGTAGATACAGGTGAGCAACACAGGCTCTTGAGAGCCTCTAGTTTATTGGTAACGTGGTACACTTTCGTCTTCGTTTTATTTCTAGTTCTGTATTTCTATTTTGCAGTAACATATAAGGAAAAGATCTTTTTAACTCTTATCTTAATCTGCCTCTCGATACATTCATTAAATCAAACAAAAACAAAAAGCATACTCTCATATTTTGCTGATAAAAATTATTTGAGCGTAATGTTTTAACACGGGATTTTTGTGAAACGGAGTTAGTTTTGATCAATCTAAAAAACGGTCTGTGTATACTTTTTCTTAAATCCTTGATGACATAGATCATCTGATCCCCCCTTATATGACAATATTTATTAATCAATGCAAAATATTCTGTACGTATAAAAACAGTCATAATAATAAACTAAATTAACAGATCTTTTTTTCATTTAAACGAGTCTTAAATAATTTGCCTGTTTCATGAAGACATCAAGACCGATTGCTTTCTGCTATTTTAAAATTCAAGATGACAGAAGATCCCATTACCACCTTAAGGAATACATATCAATGTATGATGCAAGGATAGTCAATTACAAATCGTCTTTACTACATTAAAAGGCAAATGAAATATATATAACGGAGAGTATAATTCGAACTAATTCGTTCACTTAAATAGACACTTTGCAAATACTAATTTTAAGCTAAAGAAGGTAGAATCTTCTGTGTGCTAATTTGACTGTCATAAACTAGGCTACAAAGCATACAATTGCTGTTTTTATTAAGTAGGATCGACGAAGGATATAGCTTTCTTGTACTGCAAAAAGTCAAGTTTATTGATTTCAGTATCGAATTTGAACCGTTTCATTGTTTGTTTATAGTAACAATATATTTTATAGAAGTTTTAAATGACACACACAAATTTGGTTGTATAGACAGCAACTATCTGTTAGATATATAATTTTATGATATATAAACAAATGTGTGGTGTTCCTTGAAACTATGGCATATTGTAGTCTTGAACACTACAGATACTATAACTGTATAAAATTATAAAGAAGCAAGAAAATACCGAGGTGGTAATCAAAGACCATACCGGTATGTTAAAGAAAGATACATAAAATAAGTTGCAGAAAGATACATAACACCCTGGCTTAAAGAAAAAAAAAACTAATAAATTAGAAACAGTTCACAATAAACCATTCAGAAACACAAGTTTGACCATCACAAACTAGAGAGAGAAAACATAAATTAACCAGGGATGAACTCACGTGCTCCGAAAGAGAAAGCAGTTAGAATAATCCATAAATGATATAAATAAACTACTACTGGTACAAACATAATATTGGTGTTCTGGGTCATTATCTAAATGTTTATCTTATAAACATGAACTGTTTCATACAAACAATAGTCACAGTACCTAAATTCATTCATGTTTGTCTTGTACTTCTAACTATTTAAGTAGCAGTACATACGTACGGTTGTAATCCTTGAACTTTTTATGACTTTCAGATAAAGGATCAACAAAGAGATACATTAGTAATACATCTAATTACCCATGCTAATTCTTCTATCTGCATGTGTTGGGAGAAGCGTAATCGGGGTCAGTTACTTATCTTAACATGTTTCTGTTTATTCTTGAATAATTAAGATTACTCTGCGTTTGGCATTGCTATCTCTGCTTTTTACTCGTTATATGTATTTATAAATCTTTAATATCGGTAATTAGATATAAGAAGATGTGGTATGAGTGCCAATGAGACAACTCTCCATCCAAGTCAAAATTTATAAAAGTAAACCACTATAGGTCACAGTACGGTCTTCAACACGGAGCCTTGGCTCACACCGAACAGTAAGCTATAAAGGGCCCCAAAAAATTACTAGTGTAAAACCATTCAAACGGGAAAACCAACGGTCTAATCTATACAAAAAACGAGAAACGAGAAATACTTATGAACCACATCAACAAACGACAACTACTGAACATCAGATTCCTGACTTAGGACAGGTGCAAACAAATGCAGCGGGTTTAAACGTTTTAATGACTATTTGAAAACCTTCTGTGTATATAATCTGTTTCATATATATTCTGAATCAACATTATTTTCCAAACTCATTTCATATTATCAAAGTGTCCTTTGCGTTTAAATAAATTATTGTTTTCAAAAATGATGAACAGAAATGACCAGCATATATGTTGCCCTGCGTTGTTTATTATATGACATTTATATTGGGTTTGGTATCACTTTCCCGATTGATTTTTAATGAGATTTCTGCTTGCTAAAGTTATAAAGATAGAGATACACCCAGAAAAGCGCTTCGGACGCATGAAATTTATAACGTTTTGTTTTCATTTTTTAAGGCTCATACCTTCATTTTTTTAATTTAAAACTAAATCGTTAATCCATTTTTGATCGATTGTAAGTTAGTGAAAATATCATACGCTTTTACTGAACCACTTGAAATAACCCGACTTTTTAATGATTTAAGCGTTAACAGTCTATAACTTTTGCAGTATCATTACACAATAGTTTTGATTATAAGGGCATTATCTGTTAATTTCATGTAATTCGATTTTACCCAAGTTCTTGGCGTAGAAAATCCTTAGTATTTCGAAAATTTCGAAGTTTTGTAAACAGTAAATTTGAAATTATGGCCCTTTCAATGATAATTGTTGTTAACACAGCAGTGCTGATTCCTTGGCTCGTAATAACCTCAGGGAGGAAACCTCCACCAACAGTGGCATCGACCCAGTGGATGAAATAAACTCATCAAAGATATCAGAATTAAACTCTTGTACGCCAGAACATGAATGATTTTGTGTGGGCCGGATCAGTCCGCGAAATGGTTAATCCTTGTGTCTCCCTTGTTTCACTTTTCAACGTTGGCATTCTTTTCATTCAAATGAATAAACATGCTCACCACCACATGCTGAACACATGCACAACCACCTTC